GGCCACTAAGTCGCTCTCCGAGAAGCCCGCAAGGCACAAGCACCGTCCCCATCTCTGCTCATCCAAAAGCCGGCGGGCAGAAGCTGCTCTCCCGCCTGGCAGCTGTTTGCTCCCAGCGAAACGCAGGGGAAAGTGGGGCTTTTTACTGCAAGAAAAAGGGAACCACTCCAGGGAACGGTGTATGTGCTCGGGAGCGGCGGGAAGAGCTGATGGGTTTTGGAACAGCGCTCGGGCTGAAGAGATAGCTCCAGACCTTGTTTTGCAATGACCTGTACTAAGAATTGGCTTTTTCCTTTTTCTTGCCAAATGGAAAGAAAAAAAACCCTTTCAGGTCAGAGGAAAGAAAAGCATTTACTCTTGGGTCAAGTGAAACAATCTGATGCAGGGTTGAGTGCACTTCTATCCTCCCTAAACCCGGAAAAGATTCAGTTTCCATCTGAAGAGACATCTAAAAATAAAGAGAGAAAGGTTTTTGGGGTCAGAAGGACTCGATTTTGGTTTTTAAGCCCTAACGACTTGCTGAATTGAACCCCACTTTGCAAAGCATAGGTCATCCCAAAAGTGCAGAGAGGTGGGGAGGGGGCGGGTGAAGCATCGACCTGGAAAACTTCAACCATGCTGAGACAGCACCCAGAACGGTGGCAGCAGCCAGCGTGGGGGTCAGCCTGGGACCCTCTGTACCCCGGCACGTGGCTCCGGTACCCCGACCTCAGCTCCTGCCAAGCCCGGCTGCGCACCAGGGTGCCAGGAGGGAGGCGTTTGGCAGCACTTTGTTCATCCAAAGCGAGCTGTCGTTTCCCAGCCTCATCCCCATCAGCCAAATGCTTCCTGACAGCCCGTTTAAAACTCAAAGCACCCGATTACTGCCATGGCCAGGCAGCTGCTCACAGACACCACGAGAAACTCTTCCATAACTCCCCTGAAATGAAATCCCTGCCCAGAGCATCACTCCTCATCCTTTCCAGAGCCACCCACACCCCGGGGGACACCAGGGTCCTTCTCAGCCTGGAACAGGTCCAGCTCCACTCTCATGTGCATGGCCCCAGCCAAGGGGACACTACATTTCCATCACCAAAATACCAGCACTTGCTTCCCACTACCCCAGTGGGAAGAAGAGTCTCCTGCCCCAGCTCCATCCACCTCACAGCACTGACCCCAGACCCCACACGTTGCCCGAGTCCATTAGCGAGTCCCCGGAGCACACACCTCGCTGGCATTTTGCTCAACCCTGGCTTTTAGGGAGAGCTGCAGGGCTGCACCACCTTTCAATTTTTAATTTGCTCTAAACATTTTGATCCTCTCCCCTGGGGACTCCCAGTTGACAACCTCTGCCAGCAGAACAGCCGCCCCATAGCAATAAGCAGGGTGGGAACTGGGGGCAAAGGAGGGTAAAACAGCTCCACACCGACCCCCTCTCCTCCGGAGGAGCAGGACCCCTTTGAATGCACACCCTGGGATGAGGGGCACCCACACTGGGCACTCCAGTGAAGGGGCCTCCATGAAGATGCTCCATGGAGGAGCTCCTCAAGGAGGACAGGAGACCCCTGCTCCCTCCAGGGACCTGACACCTGCAGAGACAGGGTTGTTGTAGGCAGAACATCTCCCTCCTTTTCATTAGGCATCTCCACAGGGTTGGGTCCCTCCAAACTAGGAGGGACCAACCCCTGGTCCAAATTAAGCCAGGCTGGATGGTTGTGGTAGTGGGGGTGCCCCTGCCTATGGCGGGGGAGTTGGAACTAGATGATCTTTGAGGTCCCTTCCAACTCAAACCATTCTATGATTGTAGGAAACTTGCTCTGGTTTACCCTGATGCCGCAGCGCGTGGCCTTGTCACAGCCACCTCTCCTTCCCCACCACCTGGCACCGGCACAGCGATGCCCTGGAGCAGGGCCACGAGGGCAGCATCACTTTCCAGTCCCTGAGGCGTCTTTCTCTTTTTCCACTGCCTTAAGCAACAAATGTACAAACAGGAACCTGCTGGGCATAAGAAACGTGACCTGAGCTGCTCTGGGAAGGGAGATGCCACCGCACAGCTGGGAAGATGAGCCCAGGTCATCCTGGAGCAGAGGAGTGGCTCAGGGTGGCTCTGGCTGGTGAAGTCCAGGCTGTGTTAAGGCTCACTGCTTCGTGCGCCTTTTATCCCGATTGAAAGGGTACGGAAAACTAACCAAGCACTTGCAGACAACACATGAACGGCAAAACCTCACAGGAAAAAAAATATCCTGACCAGTCAAGCATCAGAAAAGGTACATGGGATCGCAGCAAAGCACTGCATCCTGCTTCCAAGAGGTACCCAGGGAGCGGGTGAAAAGGGCGATGCACAGTGGTAATAGCCCAGAATGTGCTCCCTCCGTCCCAGAGCTGGCAGGTGAGGGAGCTCCCAGGTCACAGAGGACACCTTAACGCTGCTTAACGCTTGTTGTCTCCCTCCCACGAATCTGCCTGTTCCCCTCTCTGCACACATGCAAGCTCCCAGGGTCCACACCCCACCCTTTCAGACTCTCAAATTATCTCTCCACTCCCAATTTCCCAGGACAGCCCATGCAGAGCAGTGGTGGGATCCATCCCCAAAAGCCTCCGGTTACACTTCCAGGTAACTGCAGGACCTGCTGCTTCCCAGGCAGAGAGCGGGGACAGAAGCAGCCCCAGTCGGGCATAGGGATGCTGCCCACCCAGCAGGGTCTTCTTCAGCCCCTCACCTCCCTTGCCCTCCCAGACTGCCAGAGGAGTTTTAGGCTGAAGGGAGCCAAGGCACCGAGAGCCGGCCTCGGCTGCCACCTAGCAGCGACCCGACAGCAGCAGGGACAGGGCGACAGCTCCTCTAGCCTGCTGGCTCCTGCTGCAGCCCAGGAAGGATGCGGAGGTCTCATTGGAACACGCCACCCCAGCCCCAGTTCTCACCTCCATGAAACCAAAGGGGACTTCTGCAGCAGGAAGGGTGCTGTTGGAGACAGGCGCTCCCATCGCCCAGCTGCTCCGAGGGAGCTCAGCTCCATTTCAGCCTCTCCCTATGCTGGATGACAAACACGTGTGACATAACGCCCCAGCCTGTAGACTGAACATGGGATTCGAGAAATCAGGCAACTTCTGAACCTCCTCACAAGATTGCACAGCCTCTGCTCAAGCCATAGCTCCTCACCTCTCTGCTTCCACCTCCTTCATTAGCTTTCCATCCGGTCATTTCCTAACGAGCCCCAGTTTTTCTTTCTCTCTCTACATTTTTTTTTTTACCTCTTTCCCATCCAAAACCACTCCTAAATGCTGAAACTGAAATAAAATAGTCACAGAATCATAGAATGGTTTGGGTTGGTACAGAGGTTTAAAGATCATCTAGTCCAACCAATCAATCTCTTATGCCGGGCTTTTATCCATTCCAGTATTAATGTTAAAGCCTATTTTGAGCTCTTTTTGGTGGTCTGCAGTGAAGCACCCCTCTGGCATGTTTGCGGGTGGGCACAGAGTGGCCCTTGAAGCACCTGAGGAACAGTCAGCAACTGGAACACCAGCAAACCAGCTGAATGCCAGCATTCATAACCAGGGCACTTCTATTTCCACAGCTTTTCTCTGCACTAACAAACTCAGGCCCAAGAGGATTTCTTGCCACAGGCAGGGAGCTACACAAACACAGCCAACGTCAAGCTTCACGCTTTCTCTCACTGGATTCTTTATAGATCTCATTCAAGGTCCGTAACATGGGCTTCCTGATCCTCCTATGTGCGGCATCCTAATTCATCAACAAATCAGAGCATCTTGTTCTTGAGGAAGGTTGTTTCTTTTTGCCAGTTACCAGCGCTGCCACGGACTGAGGCCTGAGCTGGGATACAACCACCTCTCCTAACAGCAAGGAGTGCGTAGAGCATCCACGGGGTTAATAAACGAAAACATCTCTCTACACAACGTCAAAACTCCTCATGCACTGAGGGAGGGAGGGATAGGTAGCCAGTTTCCCTCTCCTAAACTTAAAGGATACATAACACAACGTGACACTTAGATGTTCTCCCAAACGATTACATTAAAGAGCAACAAATCAGTACAGCACCAGTACAACAAAACCAAACTATTTTCCTGAAAGTAAAAGTAACGTTTATCACGTGTACTGGGCACATCTGAGAAGATGTCAGACTCCAAATTTTTCAAAGGATTAAATGTTTCTGAACAAAGAAAATGACAGCACAGTCATACAGAGGGCTTTTGTGGCTCTAGGCAGTCTTCCTTGGCAGCTTCTCCTCTCTTCTCACACCTTCTTTCCCAGGCTGGGGAGCCACTGGAAGTAGTCACTGGAAGTGGCTAGGGGTGCAGCTGCCAACACTGCAGACAGCGTGGTAGGAGGGACATACAGCTTCTGAGATGGCCCTTGGTCAGATGGCCTGATGGCACTGCACAGGTCAACTGCACAACTCCCAGGAAGGTCCTCGTTCTTCATTTTCTCTTCATCTGCATATGGAGGGACACAGAAAAGAAAGATAGTATCTACACTGACAACTCTAAGAGCTTCAGTTTAGATTAAAATCCCTTTTGCCTGGACCTTACCAGGTCATGGCAAGAGGACTTTCTACTGAACACCTATCTGACAAATCCCTTTTGCCTGGACCTTACCAGGTCATACCTATCTGATGAGCCCAATATGGTATAATCTGAGAGCCTCTCTCCCTCTCCTCCCAGTGCTCAACCCAGTTTCCCCAGTGGTGGGAGAGCAGATGTGAGCTGAGTAGCTCCTGTCTGGAGAACCAGGCCTCCACTGCAGACAGCCAGCAGACAGCTCTGTTCCAAGGCACAAACAGGCACAGTCTTCGGCAAGTCAATCTACCTCGTAAATTGGGCAACTCTAATATGGGCATTGTAAATTCTTGCATCATTTGGAAGACCAACACCCACACAGGGACCTTTCAAGGTTTAAAAAATGCTTTTGTCCCTTACGATTGGGAGATTGAGAGACCCTCAGCATGAAATGAACACAGGGTAAAATACGGAGTGGAGAGACAAAGACTTCTGCGTGAAAGCAGCAGAAAGTCTGGAAAAGGCAACAAAAAAATCAACAGAGAGAGGAATAACCCTCAATTCATTTGTTCCCATTAAGCATTTAGAAAACGATTTTGCTGCACAAAGGTCAAACTGATGCACTGCGTCCAGCCATTTATTATTGTCACATCTCCATCCCACACAGAAATACAAACATTTTCATCTGTTCTAGCAGAGCAGCAGCACCAGTCCTACGATACTCAGTAGTGTCTACAAGACTCATAGCACAGTAACAGACCACTCAGCTTTCTGTCGTGTTAAATTTTACTGACAAATCTCTTCGTACCATTATGGCTGTCCAGCATAAACGGTACTGCCATAAGTAGAACCGAGGGATGTACAGCTTCACAAAGCTGGGCCTTGCTGGAAGATCCTTCTATCTGATCAGGGTCATCTTGGCTCATTTCTGCTGGTTGCTTGGAGTACATAAAGGAGAGGTGAGTGTCTTCCACTGACTTGAGTACAACAGCAGGCATTGAGGACTCTTCAAGAAAATGAGGTGTCTGCAAATATATATAAAAAACTAAGAAACTCAGGAGAGGGTGTGATTAGTGCATGCTCGGTTCATTAGCTGTCCTGATCTTTATTATCTTTCAAAATCCACAAAGAACTGGAATGTCAGCAACTGGATGATTTAAAAAAAAAAACCAAACATAAAAATAGTAGTTACTCACAACCTTGGCCAAAGGGCAGCTTTTCCTGCATAGCAAGCTGGAAAGGGTGACAGATTATTACAAGATACAAATCACCATGTCTTAGCAAAGAATTAACAGCTGGCTCCTATCTCAGCATCCCCACGCAGAATAAACAATGGCAATGACGGAGTTTCTGCAAGGGAGTAGGGACTGAGTCGGAGGAAGTCCCTCTGCATTTTTCCTCAAGAATACAAACTAAACTTAAGTTTCAGTGATGATCACCCATGTCTCAGCCATAGGGAAGGACTAGAGGCAGTATTTGTATTTGTTAATTCAGCATGCAGGAGAAAAACAGTGAAATGACAGATAAGCAGCAATTCACTTTGCCCAACCACAGCTGTTCAAAAATTAGGTGCTTGCTCTCTACGCTGCTTCTGTTGTTAAGGCAGCAGAAGAAAGGCATCCATCTTCAGAAGGGGTGGAACACTATCCAGAGGTGCTTCACCCATTGGTAAGAGTATGTTCAGAGGATCAGCCCAGAACAAAACAAATTGTTTTTACACAAGCAGATTTAAGCAATTTAAATTGGCCCCCACAAGGGGACCATGAGGTGCTTCTGAAACAGCAAGGAGAGCTACGTGGCTGGGCTGCAGAAATTCAGTGCTGACAGGATGCCAGGACAGAATAATTTGAATGACAGGCCATCACTGGAATCCAACTAACCAGCCATTCACCTTGATACCACCAGTCCACTGAAAACCTCTGCCTAACATGCAGACAAAAAAAAAAAAAGAGCACTAGGACAAGAAAAAGAACAAGGTTAAAAGATGATTAGTATCTCCTCTTGCCACCCACGCTATCCTTGTCGGGGGACAGGCAGTGTCGCTGCCACTCCAGCGCAAAGCAGAAACACACATGGTGCAAGGGTGGACACTAGAAATGTCTGTTAGCGTTGGAAAAAGCTGAGATGGAAATAATTTTTCAACAAGAGGCTGCTCAGTCTACAGAAGAGGCAAACAAGACAGGATACCCTAGAGAGTGCTGTGAGGGGCAGGAAGAAAGGCAGTATCTAGTCTTCCTCCTGATTCACACAATTAAGAATACCACCATTGAGAGGGGAAGGATGAGCAGTGAAAACTGAAAAAGAGGGAATACGACTTGGTGTTGCTGCAAGTGCCACGAAAACCTGAGGCCAAGAGATGCGCAGGAATCAGAGAAAGGAAATCCTCCCATCTGTCCTCATAACTAGCTGACTGGACCACTTTTTTTCCTTCTTGTCACTTCCTCTAAAAACTACAACAGAGATCACAGCTGGGGACAGAAAATGTGCCCAGGACTTCTCTGATGCAGTTAGAAAATTCTTATGCTTCAAAACTCACACAATTTAATACTTGCAGGGGAGTGTTGAAGTCAGCTCACAAGGACCCTATTGCTATCTTTCCACCTGCCTCCATCTCATCGTACTTTCTCCCCACACTTGCTACCAGAGGTCTTCCTCTTCTCTCAAGGTCCCTTTGCCCAGCTTGCTCTCTCTCCATCCTTTTCAGGCAACATCCCCCAGAGACACTGATTCTTCCAGCTCTGCTCTAGAGTACCTGAGAACCAGCTTTCCCCCTCATCCTTCTAGAAAGAGTTTTGTCTCAGCCACTATCAACCTCCAGATGTGTAAGGAGCTGTGGTTACTCAAAACCTTGTAGGCAAACTCCCATTTCCACCTCTGCAATGTCTCCTGTGGCTCAACATATCCTGAACAATACTGGCT